CATAGCAAAATTTATGTGATACAAATGAGTGATCGCTTCTTGCAAGATCGTATAAGGTCTTAAAACAACGATAAGAAATAAGTATATGTCACATCTCTTAATGACAAGATCTTGTAAGATCATAGGCTTTCGTGTTGCAAGATGTTGTCACATTGTATAAGCTGATCTTGTAAGATCTTATGACAACAAGTCACAAGATTTGGCAGGATCTTACAGCATCCTAGAGAAGGTCATGCAGTAAGACCTTGTTACAAGATTTCATAAGAAAACGGCAGATCTTGTGAGATGAATTTCACGTGGGTTGAGATCAAAACTCTATTATGAAATGTACAGACAGTGACCCGCTACGCTCGAAGCAGAGGTGCAGAATCTACCCGTGAGATTGGAACTCTGTCCTCGACAGAAAAACTTTCCCGACATAATCCACGAATAGAATTTCTTTTTGCAATATATTTGCAAAAGAAGTTCCAATTTTTCGCTAAAAAATGATAAAAAGTTTCCTTAAATCAATAAGTTTTTCTCCCGACGACGACCGTCAGAGCAAACAGGCAGATTCTGCAGCTCTATCTCAAAGCGAAATCAATTAGAATTCTCTACAAATAAGTCAATATTTTGTGAAGCGTTGTCGTTAAAACGAAGTGTTCTGAATCGAGTTACGGGTCATGTTTGACGATAACCACCAAAGAAATATTATATCGAAAATTAAAAAAGCTATGCTTTCATTGAAAAAACTGACTTTTACTGATTAGAGGGCGATAGCGTGTATATTTCGTATTGTCCTTACCATTGCTACAAAAAAGCTTTTCATGCCTCAAAAAATGCTGCAGCATGTGCAGAAGTGTTTGCCCTTTCACAATATGTTGCTGAAAACGCTTTTAGTTTATGTTATGAGATCCATAAATTCAGAGTACGATCCGAAATTTGGAAAAACTTTATTTTTTCTTGTATTTTTTTCACTTACGAGGGAACCATCTGAGGTGATACCTCCCGTTTTCATTCATTCATATCTCATTTAGTTGAGTATATTGAGATAGTAAAAACCCTAAAGGGGATTTTCCCCAATCTCATTCCTTCAATAGTTATCGACGTTTTCCTATTTTTACCCTTACAAAAGATGAAAAATTTTCAAAGCAAAGTAAATCCATAAAAGAGTACAAATATATCGAACTTCAAACAGTTGAGAATATCCAAAAATGATCTGTACAAATGTTTCAGTAGTCTATGCAAAACATCATTTTGTGAAGAGAACAAGCATTTAGAGGTCTGCTTAACCCATTGCCCGCTGACGACATCATTGAATAGAACAAATTGGGCTACTGATATATCAGTGGACAGCGTGCAATGTATTAATCTCCTGTAATACAAGCTGTGTAATTACAAAACGCAAAATCTAGTTGAGGTATTTCTGAATTAGGCGTCTGATTTAGACTTTTCGTGACGATATTTTACTGCACGATATTGTACCATATTCATTGAAAACTACATCTTTTATTTCTTGAAGTTCGATATATTTGTACTCTTTTATGGATTTACTTTGCTTTGAAAATTTTTCATCTTTTATAAGGGTAAAAATAGGAAAACGTCGATAACTATTGAAGGAATGAGATTGGGGAAAATCCCCTTTAGGGTTTTTACTATCTCAATATACTCAACTAAATGAGATATGAATGAATGAAAACGGGAGGTATCACCTCAGATGGTTCCCTCGTTAAATCCAAGGAAACCTCCGGTAGTATTTGTTGAATTTAGCCATCAAAATAACATTTAATTGTAAATTGAAGGCGAAATAAAGAATCTAGGTGAGAAATTGAGTTGAATGAGATATATCACACATGTTTCCTGTAACTTCGATGTTAGACGGAATAAATTCCAGCTCACGAAAATCACAAAATGTAATAGTTCGTTCGCACTTTTTATAAAGTCATTTCGACTTTTGAGACATGTTTTATGGTTTAGGTCCAAAAACAGTCGTTAGAAGTGCGAAACGAACTATTCCTAACTATTTGTGATTTTCGTGAGGGGGACCGAAGTCGAATTTTTCCGTCCAGCATCGAAGTTACATGAAACATATGAGATATATCTCATTCGACTCAATTTCTCACCTAGATTCTTTATTTCGCCTTCATGTTGCCGTTAAATGTTATTCTTTTGATGGTGAAATTCAGCCAATACTACCGAAAACCTGTCGGTTTCAACAAAATTCTGACTTTTGAATATGAGGCACAATTTTTCTATATTTTTGGCATGTCTACTCGATAGAGCGTAGAAATTTACAACTATTGTACACATTTAAACTGGTATGAAGGTTTCAGTGAAAAAAATAAATTTAAAGTTTTTCCGAATTTCGGATCGTACTCTGAGTTTATGGATCTCATAACATAAACTAAAAACGTTTTCAGCAACATATTGTGAAAGAGCAAACACTGCGCATTTTTGAGGCATGAAAAGCAATGATAAGGTACAATACGGAATACACACGCTCAGTTTTTTCAATGAAAACATCACCTTTTCTAATTTTTGATATGATATTCGTCATCAGCAGAAAATTCTGCATGTAGTCCATGTATTGTTACACAAATGTGAGAAAAAACTTTTCCTAAAATCCTTTGGAGGGCCAAAAGCGTCAAAAACCTTACAAGAAAACTTTGAGAAACTAAGTCGTAGAAAATGTTCCAAATCTCCCGCTGACATGTTCCTGATAGAAGAAAAACAATTTCATTGGGTGCCGGAAACCAACCTTATCCGTCCTGCTACTTTAAAAGTTAAAAGATTATCTGATTATAACAGGTGGGCTGTAAAGAGTCAACTTTTTCATCTTTTACAGTTAGAGGTGTGCCTCTTATTCATGTTTTTCAAAAAACTATATATGATTTTTGTGTCGCCATACAGCAGACAGCTTTTATCATATGGTTTGGTTTTAGGCGAACTTTTGTGTATATTAGAGAAAGAATACACTTAAGGTGCCGGCAATTCAAAAGATAAGCAAAATCTTTTGTTTGAGTTATTTGTTGATCATTAAAACTTTTAAAATATTGATTTTTTAAAAATGGGCAAAATTCAGCCAAATTTCGAAAAAAATGAATTTTGCCCCAAAATCCTGAGACACACATCAATCAAGTCAGTTTTTGATGCTGATTCCAAATATGACATTGGTTTTGTAAAAAATGAAAATTTCACAGTGAAAACTGCAAAATACAAGTGAATTTTCTTGTTAGTTCCTACCTGTTTCAAGAAACTTAATTTTCTCAACAACGGAACAATATATTCTAAAATCGATACTGTCTTTTTTCCCACAAGTGTGATGATTTAAATAAAGAAAAACCTTGCCTAACTGCTAACCATAAAAACTAGATAGGCTTACAAGAAGTTCGGGTGAGGTTTCAGCCGTCCTGCCCGGTCTTGAGCGATTTCAGTCGGCTAATCAGGTTCTGAAAGTATCTGGATTACCTTTTATATTCAATTTTGTATGTGAAATCAGAAAAAAACACTACCAAAATTTTAAAAAGACAATAAACCCTGAAATTTTGCTTTTTTTTCGAAATTTGGCTGAATTTTGCCCATTTTTAAAAAATCAATATTTTAAAATTTTTTAAATGAAAAAAGACTTTCAAAAATTCACGTTTCAGTGTTTTCTAAGTAACTCCATGAGCTCGATCTAATGATCAACAAATAACTCAAAAAATGATTTTGCTTATCTTTTAAATTGCCGGCAAAAACTTTCTCTGACACATTCAGATGTTCGAACAACCGTAAAAAGTTGGACTGTGACAAATAAAAGCCTTAGAAAATTTTTTTGTGTAAAGAACCTTTTGAAAAAAATTCAAGTCTAACGTGCGATTGATGGAATAAATATTTTCAGAAAATACGAAGAGAACTATTATTTACCATCCGTTACATGCTGTTTTAGAAAGAGTAACTGAATAATATGCAGGAATTTAGCATTGCTCCAGTTATCTGGTACTTATTACACCCAAAATTAATAAAATATGACTATCAAAATAACTCCTAATCTTCAGGCGCGAACGAAACTCATACGGTACGAAATTTCTAGCCAGTAAGCCTGAGTAAATGACGAATAAATACAGAATACTTTTCTTATGTACGCTGACTATTTGACTAACTGCTGGACAAAATAGACTGACACCCTAAAGTGTCTAATGTACGGGGTGATATCTCTCTCTATTTCGTCCGCTAAAACTTTCTTTCTTCTCTTTCTTTCTCTTCCATTAGGATCACTAGAATATATTAATCTAATATGACATAGAGTGAGTGTGCCTACATAGAATGAAAAAATCACATATTACTTGTAATCGATTACTGTGCGAAAATTACTACGGATGTTCAGTTCTCCTGAAAAAGCGGAACCGCGGTTTGAAAACACACTATTGACAATGCTACAAAAAGATATATTTGCCTGTCATCATTTACAAGAATCTTTCGTTAACTATACAATAAATTCTATTTCGTTGAATTGTTGCTGCCTGAAAAATTATTTTCCCGTTCTAGCTGAGAATCGAGAACCGAACATTCCTAACAAGTACATTTGAAGTTCTTTTTTATATAATCGAATAGAGTGGCACGTCTCGCACATCGAATGGCAAAAGAACTTTTTGAGTTTGATTCAGAAATGGCGAAGTTATGCCCGAGGGTTTGAACATGAATCGAGCCGTTGCAATTATTTTTTGTAGCAAATCATGAGAAGTTACTTAGAATTTATTAAACTCAACAAATTAACTGTCTTTTTCCTTTCGACAAGTTAGACCGCAATTAGCCGAGATAAGACAGAACAATATGTCGCTCTATTTTGTCCCGAGTATACTGAATCTTTTTATTTTTTGAGATAACAATTCCCAATCATTCTTAGTTTGATCACTAATACTAAAAACTTTGATTTCTCCACTCAGAGGAACAAATGCTTTTTAAAATCTTAAAATTTGACAGTCTTTTTTAATATTTAGTTTGACCATCATATTTCATCCTGTTGCACAATTATCGTTACTATGTACGGATCAGGCAGAGTCTTAAATAAACTTACTTGCATAGCTCTCACAATAATTATTATCAGTTGCTATTGTTTAATCAATTTAAATAGTCGAATTTACACTGACCCCTCTATTGATTATATAATCAACAATGGACAATTTAAAAATTATGCTGAAATATCGTTACCTTTCGATTCATTACGTAATTTAACAATATATCTACGTCTTTATCGTGATTTAAAAAAATTATCAAAAACTGACAAAAATGAATTTATCACAAAATTTGAACGCGATACGTTCCCTTGGTTAAATGGTACATCCATGTCAAATTTCAGAGGAGAAAAGATGTCAAAAGGAATTGTTGTATGTATGAGTGATAAATACATGAAAGTTGGTTTACCCGTATTATTGAGTTTAAAAGATGTGAAAAATAATTTACCAATTGAAATCATGTATTATGGTGAAAATGATTTATCAGTTAAAAATCGTCAAAAATTATTACAAATATCAAATGTTATTCGACTAATAGATTTATCAACTATATTTTATAATGTATCACTTGCAGGTTTTGCCATTAAACCATTTGCCATTTTAGCATCTACATTTCAACATGTTCTTCTAATGGACAGTGATGTTTATTTTCTTCAATCACCTGCAAAATTATTTGTTGATGACGATTATATTCAAGAAAATGTTATGTTATTTAGTGATAGAACAATGGGTAAAAATAAGACAAGAACTACATGGGTAAACAGTATTCTACCTCCACCTTTCTCAAAAACATTCAATGAATCACGTATGGTGAGAGGATTAAGTGAACATGAAATTGAGTCAGGTGTTGTTCTAATAAATAAAGGTAATGATGATGTTCTTCTTGGATTACTCGTTATTTGTATATTGAATGTACCACCATATTCTATCTACAACTATGTACATGGCGATAAAGAAACATATTGGTTAGGATTAGAAATGATTCAGAAAACATTTTATTTGGAGCAGCGAACTGGTTGTATCGGTGGTCTTGTTAATGATGACGTCTGCGGACATATTATTCATGGTGACAAAAATGAACAACCATTATGGTGGAATGGTGCTTTACTTCAGTCTAAATTTAGTCGTCTAATTTTGTTAAAATTTACTCATTATGCTTGGGAACGAAGAGATCGATATTATTTGTGGAAAACACCGTGTATAAATGTCAATAAAACTGAGCATATAACGTTGGATCAACGTCAAACGAAACTGATTCATATGTACAAAGAGACACTGAAAAATGTATGCCGCGAAATGGCTGCCGAGGGTGAATCATGTTTACCATAAGAGACTGATTGTGAAATATCTTTGCATTGTGAAGGTGCTTTTATGTAATGAATGTATGTGTGAAAGAAGTGAATTGAATATGAATATTTAATTTTGTTTTTATATCTTAGTTATCGTATTGTCAGATTGTGTGCTTTATTTATCAACTTAAATGATTTATTTAAAGATAAAATTTAAAAGAACAAACTATAAAGCTGGGAAAAAGTGAGAAGCGAAACAGCCGGACGAATGGATCTTCGTTGCTAATGGACTCTCTCTCTCACTGTTTTATGTGCAAAAGAGAGAGAAAAACTGTTCAGAGAATGATCATGCACTTATAAGAAGTACGCTGCTTTCAATTCAACAGATTTAGTTGAATTTTTTGCTATAGTTCAAGATAGAACAATAAAAGAAGCTGAGTGTTTCTATATCCGCTTATATGAACAACTGCAAGTCCGTTGTTACTTGTCCGATCGGGTAATATTGTCTGAACAGTCAACTTGCCCGTTCGGACAAGGTCTGATCTCGAGAATCATCAGTCATCTAATGCGGAAGTGTTCATTCTACTCCTCGTGCATTGATTATTCACCGTATATTAAAGCTATGTGTTCAATCTTCTTTCGCTTTTATGATGGGGACTAGCAGCAAACATAGCTCAATTTTGTGGAATTTATCTTGCCTGATCTGGCAATATTGCCGGTTCAGGCCAGATTGATACTGCGTGTTCGGGTAAGGTGTCTTACTCGATCAGGCAATATGTGATTGTTGACTGATCGGGAAACATTGCACGAACGGGTAAGTTTGCCCAATTAGGCAAGATAATCCTGCGGTAGATAAGCCTGGTCAGTTTTCTGATTATAGAAGAATGCACCGAATCACCCACGGAAAACCCTATTTGATGCAGTTTTTGCCGCTCTATCACGTGGAATAAGTGTCTACATGTGCTATAGCCTTGATTTATGCTTTAATCCACAGCAAGATTATTAAAAAAGAATGTGAATATCAAGAAAATGTATTTTTTAATTTTTGAAAAATTTGTTTTTATTTGGCAAAATAGAAAATACATGATGGATGTAAGAAAATTATTATTTTAATGTCTTCAAACGACATTTTTCCGTTTCAAAGTTACCAGCCTGTCCCAAGCACATCCTCTAACGTATGAACAAGACATTGACGACTTCAGCCCCCAACACAAAAGACTAGATATGCTTACAAAATTCCGTGTTCCCACGTTAGAGAATGTGCTGGAGACTGGCTTTTAACTTTGAAATTAATCAAACACTATTTTTATATACAGTTTTTAACGCTGAATCCGAAAACTGTTGTTTGAAGATTTCAAAACAATCCAGAGCGGAGATATTAAAGCTTTTTCGAACTTACAGGATTTTTCCAGTTTCTACATCGACATCAAGTATTTTCTATTTTTCGAGAGGAAAAAACATTTTCAAAAATTAAAAGATACATTTTCTTGATGTCCGTGGACGTTTAGATGGGTGTCGCATTGATTACTGATACCCGTAGTTCAGGAGTTTCTCCCCCCAAATATAAAATTTTCTCGATAGAAGCTCGACAGGATAATATTGAAGGGCGTTCGTCATGAAATCAAATTGGACAGAATCGAGATTTGAACCAGAGACATGATATCACAAAAGTATCATTTATCAAACTTTTGAATGGAACGCTGTGAGAAGTTTGGAGACATTCACTTGCTTAATTTAGGAGAGTCTGACACATTCTTCGTTGTGCGTGTCTCTATTGATAATATGAGCGAAGAGAAAAAATTAGCAAAACAGTACCGAATAGAACAGAACAAAAAACCGTGTTCATTGACATTAAAGTCTGCTTGTTTTGTCCCTCTTTCCCTACCGCGTAAATGTAATTAACGAGGAAACCTATCCAAATAATACTTCCGATTCCGTTCGTTCATAGGTCGATCGATACAGGGTATCGAGCTAGTAAAAAGCCTAAAAGCATTTTCTGCCTTGACTCTTGAACACCCGGTTTTCTGGAGCACCAATTCTTGACAAACTCTAACAGATAACCAAAACCTTCTCCTAATGAGGCATGATTGTAGCCCGCAAATTTCTGATTAAAATGAGACATCCCCCAGCTATACATGATCTTTCTTTGCAAAGTTATAGAATTTACAACATAAGCCCTAAATTAATTTCTTCTTATTTCTGTAGCTTTGAGGTAACAATGAACATTTAGGACTTTTCTTATAACTTCTATAACTTTGCAAGGACAGATCGTGTAGAGCTGGAAGTTGGCTCGTTTTAATCAGAAATTTATGAGCTACAATTATGCCTCATTAAGAAAAGTTTCGGTTATCTGTCAGAGTTTGTTAAAAACTGATTCTGCAGAAAACCGGGTGTTCAGGAGTCAAGGAAGAAAAAAAAGAAGAAAAGAAAATCCTTTTAGGCTTTTTACTAGCTCGATACCCTGTATCGATCGACCTATGAACGAACGAAATTCTCGTGAAATTCTCTATTAAATGATATATAAAGTGGAGTGGTTAACGAGAGAATTAGTCACCGTTATAAACATGAACTACGTTGACCTACCGGTTTACTGTGATGCTACCGAGTATTTCGGATCTTAGGCTACCCAGTTACATTTTCTTAAGACAATCTTATATATCACTCTGTAGCCGGTGAAATTCTCTATCGGACGGTGTATAATAGGCTGTTTGCTCTCGGTGAAGAAGTGGAATAATGACAATACGTTGAGTAAAGGTCATTCAACAAGGAAAGATTTGTTTTTGCGGAAAGGTTTGCAGGGTGAATGAAAAGGATTTCTACGGTCTAAAAATATGTTGGGGTTAATCGTGGAGAAAAACTACGAAACTCGCTTATCCTGCGATTTATTTTTACATACTCGCAGCTTCTTGCACGTTATTATTCGAAACTCGCTAACCAAATAAAAAGAAAATCTATTGTACACTGTTCATACAATTTATTATAATAAGTTATCATTATAATAAGCCCTCGCTATGAATGTATCCCATGTCCTTAATACCGGCAAAATAACGACGATTACCGGGAGGGATGTCACCATAGAAAATGAAAATTCCGTTCGGTATACGGGTGGTAACCACACGGTAGGTCACTGTATACCGTCGGTATAACTAGTGATACTGTCTGGTATTTTGTCATTATGAACCCGTAGAACAGGAGTTCGAAAGTAATTTTCAGCTTTCTTTTTTTTTATTGTTGAGCACTTATAATCGCAGACTGATTCCCGCACGGTATACTGAGCGTTGCGGTATACCGACGGTATTTTAAAAAGAAGCTCGACAGGACTAAGGTGCCCGCAATTCAAAAATGTAGCACTATTGTAACTTTCGGTCGAAAGCTACATACTCGGATAGCCCCAACTGAGCTCATTCCGAATATCACCTTTGATTCGAATTCGATCAAGTTTTCGGGAAGAAATCCTCAAAATACTAAGAACGCCAATAGAACAAAAGATTTGCAGCTCTCTGAAAAAACTTGAGATTTTGCCACCTTCCGTTCACTGAAAATTTTCGAATTTGATATATTCGGATTCACCATCAAAAACTGAGTCTAATCGTGTACCTTTGAGTCACAAAAAAATAAAATACCTGTGTTACACAATTTTGACAAGAGTAGGCGCTCGACAAAATGAGCTACCTTTCTCGCAAACCTATCTTCTCCCTGGTTTTGCGAGTTTGCTCCGATCGCCATACGCCATTTGAATCAGCATTTAAAGACGAATAAAAGTATGCATGCTTTTTCCAAAAATTTGTTTCATTCCTGAGAAAATACATTCTTTCTGAATCAGGAGCGAAAAAATCGGAATTCTGCTCGTAATTCTCTGTTTTCTCCATCAGAACTCATTTTTTTGTGCAATAAAAATATCATATTCGGAGTTTGTGTCGAAAACCGAATCGAATGATATATGTTTCAAAATTTTTCGTTGATTTTCATTTTTTGGTGAAAATCTCAGTAATTCTTGGACGTGAAAATTCGAAAAAAACAAAGGTGGTCAGATAGGGTAAAAACGAATATCATTCGATTTGGTTTTCGACGCAAACTCCGAATATGATATTTTTATAGTCATGTCGAGCTTCTTTTTAAAATACCGTCGGTATACCGCAACGCTCAGTATACCGTGCGGGAATCAGTCTGCGATTATAAGTCCTCAACAATAAAAAAAAAGAAAGCTGAAAATTACTTTCGAACTCCTGT